GGGAGCATCATTTTATAGGTGACAGCTACAGGAAAGCTACAGAATGAATGTTACTATCACGCTTTTCTAAATGATGTACAGGCATTCTAGCATCTCAAATGGCTTGAAGAATCGTGCATATAGCTGTGGCAAATGGGAAAAAAAATATTTCAACCTTTTAACCCCCTAGGTTTGGGCTGAGTCACAAATTTTTACTCTGCCCCTGAAATTGATACTCTAATAACTTCAATCCACTTTTTAGTTGTACACTGTCCTCATTTCTCTAACAGACAGCTGGTAGTTTGTGGACAATGAAATAAAATATGTTCAGGGCGAGGCCCCATGACTTCAGTTTTGTCTGAGTTAAACATGAGGAAGTTGCAGGTCATCCAGGTTTTTATTTCCCTAAGACATGCTTGAAGTTCAGCCAACTGGTTGGTTTCATCTGGCTTGATCGATGGATATAATTGGGTATCATCTGCATAACAATGAAAGTTTATTTAGTGTTTACTGATAATCTTGCTTAAAGGATGCATATATAAGGTGAATAGAATTGGTCCAAGCACAGCATCTTGTGGGACTTTGTGACTAACTTTGGCGTGCATCGATGATTCATCATTTACATACAAAATGGGATTGATCTGACAATTGGGACTTAAACAAATTGAGTGCGGCTCCTTTCATGCTAATTAAATGTGCCAGTCTCTGTAATAGGATATGATGGTCAATGATGTCAAATGCAGCACTGAGGTTCTAACAAGACAAGTACAGAGACATGTTTTTTGCAATTAGAAGGCCATTAGTATTTTTCACCAGTGCTATCGCTGTGCTATGATGCACTCTTAATCCTGACTGAAAATCTTCAAATAAACTAATGTTATGTAGAAAGTCCCTCAAAAATGCTCTGACTCTCTGTCAGCTACAGTGCTGAGGAGATCAATATTATTGATGAGTAGTAGACTGCTCTGATATTACGGAGGGTCTTCCGATACATTTTAAGACTCTCACCAGACTGTTTTAAGGACTAAACTTGATAAAGATTCTTAGTAATTCAAATTCAGAAATTTCAGAATAAAGACCTGGGGCCTGGTACACTATAACAAATAGAATAGGCTTGAGTCAAAGAAGGCTGCTACTCCACCTCCTTGGCCTGTGCCTCGAGGAATGTGAGTCTCAATATGACTTGGAGGAGTTGATTCATTTAGGCTGATACATTCTTCATTACACAGCCAGGTTTCCTTAAGACTAAATAATAAATATGATTATCTGATATTAAATCATTTACTTATAGATCTGATATGTAAGTGTCCACATTTAATTTCCTATTTTGTTGCACTGTTGCGGTGGTCGTGTTCATTTTTATTAGGCTATTGTGTGTAACTCCTCTTCTATTTACTTCTGATTTATCTCACTTAAGTGGCTGTGGGGAAGACACATGGTCTCTATGGGTCTTTGGGTGGGTTACTGCTCTAATGAGAGTGCAGAGAAGCGTGTAAGGGAGCAACTCTGCTTCCTGATCTCCACTCTGAGTTAAGTCCACGAATAAACTCGGTCAGATTTCTAGATATGAGCATCGCGCTATCCAAAGTGGGATGAATGCTGCCGCTAATCAAACCAGGTCTTCCCCAGAAAGTGTGGCAATTATCTACGAAGCCCACATCATTTGCAGGACAGCACCCCGACAGCCAGCGGTGGAATGATGACATGCAACTGAACATGTCATCCTTGGTTAGATTGGTGAGGGGTCATATTTTCTTTCTATTTCTTAGCACTATTGTGTAGCACGATTTGTATAATGTACTGGTAAAAGACATAAGACACAAACTTGAAGGGTTGAATCATTTTTTTGGGACATATATTAATGAATGTGTGTGTTGTAGCTGCCTCTCAGCTTGAACAAACGGAGGCCAGCCCTATAAAGACAAACTTATGCACTCAATTTGTCTGTTTGGTTACCTCAACACAATGTGGTCATTGTGGTACAACCTTTGTCAAAATGATGATGTATTGAATGAATTGTTGCTTTATTGTGCAATAATATAATTTGTAATGTTTGAGTTCAGGTCACTCACCTCTGTTGTTGAAACACTTAAGATAAGGTAAGATGATGAGACCACAGTTTAATACTTTTAATCAGTTATTCATAACACACTTTAATGCAATCTTAAGGTTACTAAAATTGTACTGTATGTGCTGAGAAAAATCACATCCAGCACCCGGACTATCAGCACTGGCACCCCTCAGGGATGTGTGCTCTCCCCACTGCACTTCTCCCCCTACACCAACGACTGCACCTCGGAGGACCCAACTGTTAAACTCCTGAAGTTCGCAGACAACACAGCGGTCATCGGCCTCATCAGGGACGGTGATGAGTCTGCGTACAGACGGGAGGTTGAACAGCTGGTCCTCTGGTGTGGACAGAACAACCTGGAGCTGAACAAGCTCAAAACTGTGGAGATGACAGTGGACTTCAGGAGGAGCCCCCCAACACTACCCTTCCCTCACCATACTCAACAGCACTGTGTCTGTGGTGGAGACCTTCAGGTTTCTGGGATCCACAATCTCCCAGGACCTGAAGTGGGCCCCCAACATCAACACCATCAGGAAAAAGACCCAGCAGAGGTTATACTTCCTGCGCCAGCTCAGGAAGTTCAACCTGCCTCAGGAACTGCTGATCCTGTTTTACTCCACCATCATCCAGTCTGTTCTCTGTTCTTCTATCAGTGTGGTTTGGATCGGCCACCAAACAGGATAGAAACAGACTACAACGGATTGTCAGGTCTGCAGAGAGAATCATTGGTTCCAGCCTGCCCTCCATCCTGGACTTGTACACCTCCAGAGTCCGGAAACGTTCTGGAAAGATCACTGCAGACCCATCACACCCTGGACACGACCTGTTCCAACTCCTCTCCTCTGGTAGGCGCTACAGGGCTCTGTACGTCAAAACCACCAGACACAGGAACAGCTTATTTCCACTGGCCGTCACTCTCATGAACAATTAACAGTCAAACTGCACTACTACCTCCATTCTGCACTATCACCTTAATTCCATTAACACTGTTGTTGTATGGGTTATGTTCATATATATAGATACACTGTTAGCCCGAACTAGTTGACTTTACTAGAAAATCGCGTGGCAACCCGTTGCCTCAAACCATTTAAGTTTTTACAAATGGAGGAACTAAACAGATCAAGTTGTGTTAACATAGAAGCTTAATGAATGCAGTAGACAAGTTTAAGTCCACATTAGTAATCTTTACTAAAAATCATTAGTTCACTTGAATTATTTTTTCTTTAGTCTAAGTTTAATGAAATAACTATTTTAAGTTCAACATACATAAGCATATATAAACAAATCACTAATATAACATTATTTATTGCAACTTAAGACCATTAGTTTATTTAAGTAATGTCTTTACTTTTAATTAAATTAATTATACTGTTTGATTTTGAGATTTAATGTATTGTTTCAAGAAAATTGTACAGAAGGAAAGAAATTAAACTGTAACTTGTAAAAAGCAGCTGATGTTCAACTGTGTTGTTGTTCCTCACAGTCTGGAACAGAAACCTTTACACAGAAAGCTCTTATAGATTCATGTTCATGATTTAAACATAAAGATAATGCAGCAAAATTTTGACCAAAACTCATTTTAATTCAACCTGTTCAAGCCGAGAGAGACGCTCATAAACACATCATAATACAAAGAGGATCTGTGTGAGCTCACAAACATACCCACAGGAACTCTTCTGTGGGTTCTACAGGAACTCAGCTGATTTCCTGTAAATGAAGAGGGTCGGAGGTACAGTGATGATGTGATCCAGGTACATGAGAACAGGAAAATAACCCTGATGTGTTTATCAGAAAGTTCAGACTCCATTTTGAGTCACAGAGCAGAAGGAAGTTCTGTTGGATTAAGTGTTAATCCAACATTTGATTGTTTTACTGTCACAGTGTGTGAGTCACTTTCCTCCCTGTGGACTGTAGAGCAGTGGTTCTCAACTGGTCTGGCTGCGGGACCCACCATCACCCCTTAATGACAAGCCACGACCCACGACCCAAATTATATATATATATATATATATATATATATATATAATTTGGGTATATCTATATTCAAGAAGTCTGGTAGTAACATCTCTGTGCAGTCAACAACTGTCAAATCAAATAAAGAAAGTACACCAATTATATTTTAACAATTATTATTCTCAGTTTTCAAATTGAACTGGATGGATTATAAATAATACATAGAAATACATGAATAAATGTTCTTCTCATTTCAAGTAAAATAATGGCTGGATTAAAAAATAAATTACGTAACGAAATTCATTTTAGAAAAATTATTTTCACTGAATTGCCCTGCAGCTTTAAATTCAGTTCATTCAGGGTGAAGTGATAAATCCACAATATAATATTTTTTCTCATCTTCTAAAAAGAGAAATGAGTGTGGGAAGAATTCAGCTATATGAGTCTGTCCAGTATATGAGTCATGACTCTGGTCTCTCTGGTCATTTTCTCTTTTGGAGATCGTCCTATGATTTGACTTACTCAACTCACACCTCAATAGTCCTGCTCTGCTGTCTATCTCCTCGTCTCTCCTCCGTGTGTCATGGTGTGTGTACATCTCACTCAAATCAGGAAACTTGTCAGAATACCCATATTTACCCATATTTGATTGGCTGAGCTGCATCACGTGATGTGATTCACAACGCATTGATCGGTGTGTTTCCTGCACCGCTGAACAAGTGCCGTAAATGCTGGAATAATTCCGCTGCATAAAAAATGGCCTTCAAAATTTTTTTGTCAGGCAAAGGCCCGCGACCCACTGAAAACGGGCCCGCGACCCACCAGTTGAGAATCACTGCTGTAGAGGACACACATGTCAGAATGTGTGTGTGTGTGTGTGTGTGTGTGTGTGTGTGTGTGTGTGTGTGTGTGTGTGTGTGTGTTACTTCCTGTTCTCACGTCTTGATTCTGGTGTCTGCTCTCTCACAGTCAGTGTTACTGTTTTACTCTCAGACTGACTTCAGATCAGAAGATGAGTGTTTGTGAGGAGGAAGAGGAGGACAGAGCAGAGTCTCTAGTCTCCGGCTGTCTGTCTATGAAGAGTGATCGGTCCAAAAGGTTTCCTCTGTTCTTCAGTAAAGAACCTGGACCCTCAGACACACAGTAAGAGAACTTCTACTAACTCATTCATAGGAGTCATTTTCACTTCCTGTACCTCTGACAATGTGTTCTGTAGATTTAGAGGTGTTGAGTTGAGTTTGAGGTTCTTCCTCTTAGTATCAGTGACAGCTGTCAGTCACCTAGAAAAGCTGTGATGTAATCTAAGAGCACTAATACAAACTTTAAAAGCTTCTAAATATCTGCAGTAACAGTAGTTTGTGTATTCAGATCTACTTTAATGTATTTGTTGTTCTCAAAGATTCATTCTGAATAAAATCATCTTGATGTTTGCTGATGTCAAAGTTCTCTGCTGACAAAAACAAGACAGGAAATGGTCAACTGTACATTTGGACCTCTTCTGTTTTCATCATGTTTGAATTGATCCTTCATTTGATAGTTGACAGTAGAAAGTGACAGAAAACAGACATGAAGAAGGAAAGTGTGTGGACTTGAACCTGAGACTCCACTGTTACATACTGTGTGTTAGACTGTTGGTCCACCACAACATGTAGACCTCTTCTAACCTCAGTTCAAACACAACTAACTCAAGCTGAGCTGTGACACAGTAAAGGACATGATCGGCTCTCTCTAATGGAGGACTTTTACTGTGAAGGAGCTGCAGGAAGTGTTGAGTTAGTTATAAACAAACTACAGACAGATCACTCAATGTTTCATCAGACAGCCTGATAGGAAAAGCAGCTGATGAGAGTTTATGAAAGCAGGAGAGTTGAAATCAAAGAACATTTTCATTACAGACTGAACGCTGAATTCAAAGAGAAAAGTAACACTTTAACTGTTCTCTGTGAACATCTGAGCTTCTACACACTTTAGTCCACATCTGGATGTTTTAACAACAACCAACAAATCATTCTAGTTCTAAATAAATGTCTTTACAGGAAGAAGAAGAGGAGTCGTGTTTCTAAGTTCTTTCTGAGGCTGATGTCCAGATCCAGAACCAGAGCCGGACTGCAGACGGCCAGTGAGACCAGAAGTGTCCAAAGTAAGACTGTCCATTTCTCTGCTGATGTCTTCATGTCTGGAAACAGGACGTGTTGTTTTAATACAGAGACACTTGTTGGATTGAACGATGTGAACACACAAAGGAAGAAGCTCTCATTGATTCATATACGGTCCTAGTCTGTTTGTTGACGGAGGCGCGGTGTGTTTCAAAGAGCAGATCGATCCGGGCAATATAACTAACAGGCTCTGTGTGAGAAATATGAAATCAATGTGACGATGAATGTATTTTAACAACTAACACAGACACACATCTTTGATCCACGTCGTTCATAACTGGACTTTTAACAGTCGCTCTGTTAACTTTGTCTGTCGGCTACAGCTCTACAAAACAGGAAGAACTTATGATTCAGTAGGAAACATGAATCCATGTTTGTCCTCAGCTTTATTCTTTTAATTTGATCTCAATAACCTTCATGATAATACAATCCCACCCGTTCTCATAAGTGTTGAATGGATTAACAAAGCAATAGTTAGTAGTTTGAATGTTTTCTTGTGTGTGAACACAAAGTAAGGAGGCCCGCAAAGAAAGTCTTTCCTAGAGCCCCTGTTGTCTAGAGCCCAGTCTGGGTTAGCTCACAGCTGATAACGTGTCATCAAAGTGTAGCCCCGCCTCCTGTTACCCCTCAGGGAAACACTCTCAGCAGTGCTGCTGTTTGAACTGTTAGCACCGTTAGCTGCTAGCCGCCGGCTCAGCCGTCAGCCATGTTGAGAGCCGTGTGGAGTCAACAGAAACGCGCTGAATTCACTATTCAGCAGCTTTAACTCATGAAACAGGTGAGACTGACACAGGTGGAACAAATCCAGGCGGGACAGACAATCACAAAGACAGGAAGTAAAGTGATCTTTCAAAATAAAACAGGAAACCGACCATGTAGAATCCCAGCACCATGACAGAGACGGTCTCCTCCCTCAAACCAAAGCCACGTCTGTAGCTACACTGACTGGATCAACACTGGCTGTGCTGGTGACCAGAGAGAAAGCTCTCTGTGTTCACATCTCACTACTTTAGTAGCTTCTAACTGAATCTAACTGAAAGTTACTTTCACTCATGTGTCCCCGTTTGTAGGTTCAGATATCAGCCTGATGTTATTGTTTACTGATTGTTTTAGTCAAATCAATATCATATCTTCTTTATATGTTCTCTCTGGTTTCTCTGTTTCAGAAGATAGTGGTCTGCAGGAGGTTTTAGATGAACATAAGATCAGTCTGAAGAAGAGATGTGAATGTGTGACTGAAGGAAGTGATGAAACAGGAAGTGGAACCCTCCTCAACAGGATCTACACTGAGCTCTACATCACAGAGGGACAGAGTGAAGAGGTTAATACCCAAGATGAGGTGAGGCAGCTTGAGTCAGCTTCCAAGAAGAAGACCCTCCGTGACACTCCGATCAAGTGCCACGACATCTTTAAAGCCTCAGCTGACCAACAGAGACGCATCAGAGTCGTTCTGACCAACGGCGTCGCCGGTGTTGGAAAAACCTTCTCGGTTCAGAAGTTCACTCTGGACTGGGCCGAGGATTTGGAGAACCAAGATGTCAGTCTGGTGGTTCTGCTTTCGTTCAGGGAGCTGAACTTGATCAAAGATGAGCAGTACAGTCTTCTCCAACTGATCCATGTTTTCTATCCAACATTACAGAAGGTCCCAGCAGAGAAGCTCTCTGTCTGTAAAGTTCTGTTCATCTTTGATTGTCTGGATGAAACCAGACTTTCATTGGATTTCATCAACAATGAGGTCGTGTCTGATGTCACACAGAAGGCATCGGTCAACGTGCTGCTGACGAACCTCATCGAGGGGAACCTGCTTCCCTCGGCTCTCGTCTGGATAACTTCCAGACCTGCAGCAGCCAATCAGATCCCTCCTACATGTGTTGACAGGGTAACAGAAGTACGAGGCTTCACCGACCCCCAGAAGGACGAGTACTTCAGGAGGAGGTTCAGTGATGAAGAGCTGTCCAGCAGAATCATCTCACACATCAAGACATCCAGGAGCCTCCGCATCATGTGTCTGATCCCAGTCTTCTGCTGGATCACTGCTACAGTTCTGGACCACATGTGGACTACAGACCAGAGAGGAGAGATGCCCAAGACCCTGACTGACATGTACTCACACTTCCTGCTGGTCCAGACAAAGAGGAAGAAGCAGAAGTACCATGAGGGACATGAGACGAGTCCTCAGGAGCTGACGGAGGCTGACAGGGAAGTTCTTCTGAAGCTGGGGAGGCTGGCGTTTGAACATCTGGAGAAAGGAAACATCATGTTCTACCAAGAAGACCTGGAGCAGTGTGGTCTTGATGTCACGGAGGCCTCGGTGTTCTCAGGAGTTTGTAGTGAGATCTTCAAAAGAGAGAGTGTGATCTTCCGGAAAACAGTCTACTGCTTTGTTCATCTGAGTGTTCAAGAGTTTCTGGCTGCAGTCTACATGTTCCACTGTTTCACAAACAGGAAGACAGAGGTACTGAAGGACTTCATGGGATATTACTACAGGTATTCATCTCTGGAGGACTTCTTGTGTACAGCCATGGAGAAATCCCTTCAAAGTCAAAATGGCCACCTGAACCTGTTTGTCCACTTCCTTCATGGCCTCTCTCTGGAGTCCAACCAGAGACTCTTAGGAGGCCTGCTGGGTCAGACAGACAACAGTCCAGAAACCATCCAGAGAGCCATCAACAACCTGAAGTGGATGAAGAGTGATTATATCCCTCCTGGCAGAAGCATCAACAATATCTTCCACTGTCTGATGGAGATGAACGAGCTCTCAGGACATCAGGAGATCCAAGAGTTCCTGAAGTCAGAGAACGGATCGGAGAAGGAACTCTCAGTGATCCACTGCTCAGCTCTGGCCTACATGCTGCAGATGTCAGAGGAGGTTCTGGATGAGTTTGACCTGAAGAAGTACAAGACATCAGATGAGGGACGAAGGAGACTGATTCTAGCTGTGAGGAACTGCAGAAAGGCTCAGTAAGTCCAGATGTGATTAACTTTATGAATCAGTGTAGATCAGTAGTTTAGTTCTTCAAATACAGACACTATGAAATTCATATTCTTAAAATAGTGTTCCAGTTGTTTAATACAAAATTATGATTCAGTTATATTTCATCACACATGTTCTTGATGTTTCAAATGCTGCGAGTGAAAACATGTTTCAGTTTCAGTTGGTTTAGTTTTCACTGTGAAGTTAATGAACACAGTTATTCTATTGATTTCTAATGGTTGTTATATTTTATATTGATATAATTCTACCTCTATTTATCTTCCTTGGTGATGGAGGCGACATACAAACCTGCTGAAACAAATGAAGGACTTTAGAGGTTGTGTTTGAGCTTTTATCACAACATATAAAATGTGTTTTTATTGAAGCCAAATGTCCATAAATGTTTTCCATAAATACATGTGAGAAATTCAAACAAGGAAACCAACAAAGTGATTCTTTGAACCGTTGCCTCCACGAAGGAGTTCAGATTTCCTCTTTAGTAGAATTCACCTTTACCCAGCTGAGTAACATGAAGTATGTTTATTATGGTCCACATGAAGTCCTTGTGTGTCTCCTAAGATCCAGACCCTGTAGGGTCAGATGGAATGTAATGTACTTCTACTTCAGAGGACAACATTGTACTTCTACATTTACCTGACAGAGAAATGTTACTGGTTACGTTGAAGATTCACATTTGACTCACAAAATATACAAGAATTAAAATATGAAGCATTATTATTTATTAACTATCCAGCATCATGTTAGAACTGAAAGCTCCACCTTTAACAGACATTAATAATATTATTATTATTTACGTCATATTAATATTATTCCTTATTTTGATCCTTTGGCAACAATCTTCACTTAGTGTAAACTGTGGGACTGCAGGACTTTTACTGAGCGGTATTAACAGTTCTACATAATAAACTTCTTCTTCTTCTTCTTCTTCTTAAACCAACATTCCCAGTTAGAGAAAGGCTGTAAAGTAAATCAACACAGCGTTTTCCTGAAGGCCTCAAATCACTAAATCTACGCTGAAAAACACACCCAGGTCGGGTTACTGACCGTCAGAAACATCAGTCGAATTCACTTAACAGGGGTATTCATTTATGAAGAGGAATATTAATCTCCTGCTTTGACAAAACCATCACTGTTATATTATTATTAAATTCAGTATGTAACTGTTGCTGCACTGTGAACACAAGTGAAGTTGTGAGATGATGTTGAATGCTGTAACAGTGATTTAGTAGCACAAGAGGAGAAAAGTCATCACATCAGAGAACTGATTCAGTGATGTCAGTTACACATTAATATATATATCTGAGGTTTAGCATTAGCATTAGCCACATTAGCCTCCATAAACTGCTGGTCATACAAGACTGTCGCTGTAAATCTCCAAAGTGTTGAACCGAGAAATGTTTCATTTTATTGTTTATGAATTCAACTTTTAATTTTTAAAGTTTTTTTTACATCGTCCTGTTTTTAAATCTTTTAATTTGTTCTTTTACTCAGAAATAAACTCAGAATGGTTGAATTCAGACTTTTATAAAGATCTTATGAACACCATGTTATGTTTTTAATGCTGATTCACTGAAACATATTTCTGATGACATCATGTTGAAAATGATTAAGTTGAAAATAATGCAGCCTCATTGGTGTTGAATACATTTATTTAGAGGCTCAGAATGACAAAAACATCTAATTATATATATATTAAATCATATACAGGTCTAATATTATCAAGTAATCTGTTTCAGTCCTGTAACGTTCTTCAGCTGTCTCTGAATGTTCTGGAGGTGAACCTGACAGCAGCAGGTAGCTGTAGCTGTTAACCTGCTTTTCTAATGAAGAAGGCCTCATGCTAACGTTGTGGAGACAGACATGGGATCAGATCACACTGACAGACTGGACATTATGGAAGCCTCAATGTAACGACACTTTGTCTCCCTTCATCTGCACATTAAAGAAAAACAAAGATTAAAAGTCTGCAGGTAGGAGAGAGAGAGTGATGAGAGTTATTGTTTCATGCGAAACACAGTGAGATAAGATTAGCTGAACCACTGATGTGAAGAGATAATGTTCATCAAAACAGGAAGCAGGAAGTAAATATTAAGTGTCCTCTTTCATAATAATATTTTGTAATATTTGTGTCGTTCCAGACTTACTGACTGTGATCTCTCATGGACTCACTGTGAAGTTGTGGCCTCAGCTCTGAAGTCCAACCCCTCCCATCTGAGAGAGCTGGACCTGAGTAACAACTACTACCTGGAGGATTCAGGAATGGAGCTGCTGTCTGCTGGACTGAAGAGTCCACACTGTCGACTGGAGACTCTGAGGTCAGTTCACTGACTGAAAGGTTTCAGGATTTGGCTGAAAACAAAGGCTGACTATTTGTTAGAGTAACAGAAAGTAGAGAAATTAAGTGATTGACAGGAGAGTTTTTAGCTTCCACAGACTCTCATTTTGGTCCATCAGTCACTGAAGGTGATGTCAGTCCTGATGAGGCTGTAGAGTGTGTGAGGGGGATGATAATAAGCAGCAGCCTAACACCGGCCCAAACGTCTCCACAGAGCAGGCTTTTAGAACATAAGTCTGTTGTAATTACTTGAAAAAGATGTCAGTTGAGACCAGTCATAGTGAAAGTGGCCCTTCAACAAGTGATGATTATGAATGACATCATCAAACTATAGATGTTTAAGGTTCTAACTTGTTTCCAAGTTCTTGTTGACAGCAGGTCTAACTGTGGTTCTGTTTTCATGTTTTGTCTCATTATCTGAAGACACAGACCTTTAGGTTACAACTAAAAACACATGTTGCAGTTTGTACTGATGTGACCAGAATGTAGCATGTAGCATGTAGCATGCTAAAAAAAAGCTGAACCTACAGTCTGACAGAAATACCTGATGTTTTACTGATTCAGAAAGAATCTCCAGTCTACCTCTCCTTCTATATCCCACAATGCAAAGTGCTGGAACAGCACATTCTTTGTTCTATTTCATCACTAAATTCACTAATGAGGACTTTTGAGGAGAGAAATCAACTTTGTAGATTTAAAACATTGTCAGTTAAATTGATTGAACATTTGAGTGATGTTTTATATTTACAGTCACACACACACACACACACACACACAGAGATCTAGTCATATTTCTTAATGCAGCTGTCTAAAGGATCAATATAGTCTTGATCCTCTAGTTCCAGACCTGACTGAGACCAGCAGCATGGTGTTAATCTGTGTTGACATCAATAGGTGTATGAATGTTGTGGTGACATGTGGATGATGTCTGTAGAAGGCTGACATGATGATGATCCACAATAACACAATGACAAAGAGAAAAGCTCATTGATGAGGACATAGTCATGTTGAGCTACACATTTAAAACATGAACACATCTGATTGGATTATAAATGGATTCTTATCTTCATCATTTATTCTTTATTCAGGTTCAGGAGCTGCAGGTTGTCAGACATCAGCTGTACTTCTCTCGCCTCAGCTCTGAAGTCCAACCCCTCCCATCTGAGAGAACTGGATCTGAGATACAACGAACTGGAGGATTCAGATGTGAAGCTGCTGTCTGATCTTGTGGAGAGTCCAGACTGTAGACTGGAGACTCTGAGGTCAGTAGAGGGTTGGACTCAGTCCATGCTGGTTCCAGCAGTATTGAACTAAACACAGATCCAGTATTTCCTGTAAACCTCCAACCTTCTCAGTGAAGCTGTGAGAGGGGAACACTGACAGGCTTCAGGATTGGACAGAAAGTCAGCCAATCAGATGAGCCACAAGCTTGTTGCGATCATGTTTGTTAGTAGTGGTAGGAGGAGGAGGAGGAGGAGTAGTAGTGGTAGGAGGAGGAGGAGGAGGAGGAGGAGAAGGAGTCG